TACATGGTAGAAGGATACAATCAAATGACAACAAGAGTGCAAGTACCTGTACCAAGGATGCTGATGCAGAAGGTAAGATAATAAACTCTAAAGTCTGAATTCATACCTGTTTCCAGAAAAAAAAAAGTCTGAACCCATACTATTCGTCTAAAGATATTAAACAGGACTGCTACAGCTAGTCTAGAAGTAGTCCATTCTTCAGTTTAGCCGGTGGAAATGAAGGACCAAAACAATGTAACTGTTATGCAAAATATACTGACTAGGAAAACTAAGATTCACTATAATCAATGCATCATCAAGTAATAAGAACAAGACACAAGAGACTGCAGAAAGACAATAGTATGTGCATATCAGAACTTCTACAAATCAAATCTTCATAATTCAAAGATAACATGGAGAGAACATTTGGAATGTTTTTTAGCATGTAGGTTCAAAAATGTACTACTTGAAACCAGTGACTCAGTAAGTCAGTATCAGCAGAATTGACAGCTAAGCTGACTAAGAAGTGCCCAGCACTCCAGCAGTACACGTGGTGTTTGAGGGAAGGATGTTGCATCTATGATGATGTTTCAATACTACCTAGCAGTACAATGGTGTTTAATGCAAATCAGCACAATATCTTGATTTGATTGAAGTAGTTATGGGCTTTTGGGGTAGCAACTACAGATCCAAATGGAGCACCTTTTATTTTCCTTTTTTCATCAAGTACTTTGTTTCTTTGGCGTGGCGGCAGGTGATTAATCACATGGCAAAATTCAACAGGGAAGTATTAAACAATTGCACTGATGATTACATGCTATTTCTTACCTTGCCAGCCATACAACTTAGCCTACTATGTAAATGGACATGCTTTTATATGATTTTCACATACCATGACTGTATTAGCACTTCAGCAGATGGTAAGTTTTCTCCTAGAGATGTTATTCAGTTTATATAATGCATCCAGTAATTTTGGTAGAACATATTAGTCATGAGATTTTGGATGGATAATATACGTAACAAAGTCCAAGCCACCACAACCTGTTTCATTTCCTTAGCATTGTAAAGGAACCTGAGCAGTGAGCAGTGCACATGTTACAGAAAGAAAATGGAACCATATCAATTCAAAAAGGCACTTTATCTGGTACAGTACTATCCAAAATATCAAAACTATCATTTGACACATGCATAATATAAATGCAATCAGTTATCGATGGACTTGATGTGCTTCAGTTATGGTTTATTCTAGTCTAGATATATTAAAGGTGTCCCTTCAAGAGGCACCTACAGAATTAAGACCGCAATGGACTGTTACATGTTACACTATGTATTAACATCAACAAATGTCAGTCAAATGCAGCTAACTACACTTGGCAGAATCCCTTCTCCCTTGTAGCTCCTTGGAATGCAAGCCCCATGTGCCAGTTAAGTTTTGCAAACACTACTCGAGCAAAGTTGAGCTATACGATGCCGAGGTTCTGCACTATTTTCTTACGAATCCTTTTGAACAGAATGAAAAAAATATATTGATATATAAGCTAAGGCTGACACACAAAGAGTCAAAGAACGATAGAATATTACAATTATACACAAAGAAGAAATGAAACAAGGATTCTTGGAATATATATACACTAAAGATGGAGCAACTCTCATGATTACTGACGCTGACACCTTTATCTGCCTCAGAATAAGCTATCTGAAACCTTCACGTACAGTATTGGGACAGTCATGCTTACATGACAGGCTACAAAAATGAAGTTGTTGTTCTCTCACTTTGGTAATGCATGAAAGGATACTTTTCTGTGAAACAGTTAGGTATGTATGTGAAAGTAAAACAAAAAAAAAATCACCAAGTAAACACCATAGTCACAAAGTTTCTAGGTCGACTGGGTAGAGGAATATGGTACGCTACTTGCGAGAGGTTTTTACACTGCTGGGTCGAAAATGACCCCATGTACTCCGGCCGGGATCGACGTTACCGGGTCAAGGGTTGATGTCTTCGACCCTGTTTTATGTGACTATGGTTAACACATGTAAGTGGTTTTTATGTTTAGGCCTTCTACTTTATCAGTTGAAATCTGATCTATCTCAAGTTCTCAACTGAAGGCAACAATTTGTATTCGTTTCAGTTAAAAGAAAAAAGATTTGACAATACAATGAATGTGTCAAAGCTATTTCTTCATCATCGCCTTGTTGCCTATTTGGTATTTCCACGCAAATCAATAGTAAGTTACAACTTACAACGAACATATATTCTTTTTTGCAGTAACAGACCTTCCCACTAAGCCCTCAGCAATCCAAGGTGAGAAAAGAATGAGAACCCATCCAGTTTGAGAATAAGCCGCTTAGTAATATGTTATACTCAGTGTGTAGTGTTCTTTTTAGATTGAATTTTCAATTTTTGACATGAATAGAAACAAAACACCGAAATATATGCTTTATTCAGTTTCAGTTACAAAAGGCTCTGAAAGTCTCCTTAGTATTTTTGCCACGGATCTAGATTCTAGAAACAAATTTGGTTACAATGGGAAAGATTTCTTACTGCAGTCTAACATAAGAGCGGTACAATTTTGAAATTGCTAGCTTACTTGCTCCTCACCTGTATGGCAAAAGAGAAAGCAAAAGGCATCACAATGCATATTGATAGTACTGAACCACAGTAATACAAATCATGAAGAACAAGCTCAGATGAGCGAAAGGCCTAAATGGAATTCCAAACATACATATATAGAACAAACATTGTTGATTTTTAGGCAGAACCTATTGCTAAGGTATGTTATTCATGACAGGCAATATAGTTGTTGGACCAGCATAAAGATAGCTCATGAATTGAGGGAGGCAATCAAAAGTGATCACGAATTTATTATCTTACCCATGTATCAGCTTAGCTACCTAAATTTGTTTTCAATATTGAAATTAGACTAAGCAAAAGATTGCTCATATAGAACTATTTCACTGCCCTTGAAGTTCTTATCTGGAAACGTAAGCTCATATATATATAACTATTTCACTGCCCTTGAAGTTCTTATTTGGAAACGTAAGTGAACATTCTCACAGGGACTCCCTCAGCAAGAGCATTAGAGCTCAAAAACACACTTTAAAAAGCACAGTAAAGCTGTTAAAACTCTAAACTCTGTCAAAATTATTCATGTGTGCTGGTGTAATAGCAATGTAAAGCAAATGAATTGCCATGTAAGACACAAAGATAATATTTTATGGCGTTGACATCTAACCATTTCAGATCATATGGCTAATGGCTAATGCATAAAAACAACTGGGATCAGTGTCAGCAGGGGAATTGTTCTCTGCATCACTCGTATAAGTTCTGAATGGTGCGGTCACCAATATGATTTTGAAACATTCTGTTTGCCTGAAAAAAATTAATTACACATGGACTACAGTCAAGTTTCAGATGATACCCTACTTTAAGCATCAGTGAGACTGAGAGAATGACCTTGCTGACTATCAGGTTTTGTGGACATTGTAGTTTTGGCAACCAAGGAGCCAAATGGTGATTTCACACAAAGGGAAAATTTATAAATTCTCTACTGATGCAAGCATTGCTTGAGGTTCCAGCTTTTTTCACTTGTTATTCAGGTTTTGCTAGGACACAGTCATATGGTTGTTCCTTTCAGCCAAACAGAGAGCGCTACATTAACAATACTGGCCTGAACTTGTAACAAGATATGATTGTAATTTTTGTTCACTAACTAACCAGGTAGAATAAACCAGTAAAAATCATATAGCAAAAAAAAAAAAAAAAAAAAAGAGAGAAGGCTAGCAATTTACTATATGCAATATAGGTCTCCTATGAAAGTGAAACAAACATATAGAAAGAAAGAAAGAAACAGACAAAAAGACAGTAGAAGAGCAAAAATGTGCACATACCAATCTAGGCTTACAGCTACCTAATATACAATGGAATCAAAATTAAGCACAAGGTCACTACTTATAGCAAAACACAGCTTCAGGATGCTGGATATACTTCAGCACCTGCAATTTCTCCCTCCAGTATATTAACCTACTGAAAGGTTACATGAAGGCAAAAATCTAGCGCTGGATCATAGCAATATCTTCTTGTTAGCTTAAAACAATCACCAATAATTCAAAAAATAATAATCTCTAATGGCATAACTTTGAAGTGTTGCAAAAATAATAAGGATGGTTTTAGATTGAGCACTCTGGGATTCGATTATACATTGGGGAAAAAAGAAAGGAAAACATAAGATACATAATCAAACTGGTCCATCACATTTCAAATTCCTAAACCTAGTGGTGCTCAGGTGGCACTATATATACTGAACTCCAGGATATAAGATAATCAAAGTTATAAATCTTTAAAAAGAAAATTACAGGCTCCATCTATCAAAAAGCAGTTAATTGGAAAATCCTGAGATGCTTTTGTATCTACTGCAGTTCTGCAATCATGTTACATACAGGAAATATACTAATTCTTGTCTCCCTAATCAAACATCTTAAACTCAAAAATGCACTCATTTGACTGCGGTAAGTGGGCAGAACCTTCTACATCTGGTACCATGTCACCATATATGCCTTTAAACATAAGAGCTTCCCTCAAAGGTATATAATAGAATATGAATGTGCAATAGTGAACAGAATGAATACCAAAACTAAGTGATCGCAAAACCCATAGGTATGAAAATTCGGTAGTAGTTAATTGAGTAAAGGATTTCACCTCTGCAGTAAAACCAAACTATATTATTGATTATATTATACCTAAATGACAACTGCATAATGCAGTAGAGACGGCAATTGTTGTCAACCCTTAGATGAGTAACTTAGGTGAAGCCACCGTGATACAACAATAGAGGATACACTTGAATGTCACTAAGTACTTCACATTGAGTTAAACAAAAACATGCTCTATCTTCTAATAGGGTTTCTACCTGTCACCAGAGTTGATTGTACATCAGTATTTCTGTGTTCCCTGCACATTCATGCAGTCCAAACAAAGAGATGTACAAGCACCTTCCCTTGCAGAGTGGTTGCCAGTTCAAAAATCAATGAGAAATTTGTTCCTCCATATCCTCATCAACGTCGTCATCACTCTTGTGATCCTCGGACGCAACACCCGCTTCCATGTCCTCTTCGTCCACCTCGTCTTCGTCATCTTCATCATCATATTCCTCCTTATTTTCATCATCCTCCCCTGCAGCGCCAAACTCTTCCCCAATGTTTTGTTCACTGCGACTACTCCTTCGATCTTTGCCCTTGCCCTTGCCCTTTCCAACCTCCTCCACTCCCATATGCATCAAATGCAGATACTGATACCTTATCCCCATCATGGGGTGTTTGTCCACAAGCATATGCCTCCGGTATGATTCCCTGAGAACTACCGTCTGTGTTCCCAGCTTGTGCGACAAGTAGAAAATCCCAGGGTGCCTAGCCACCACCTTCCTGAACCCCGGTGGCAGCCGCAGCACCTCGCCAAGCTTGACCAGCACCTCCTTCTCCATCTTCTTCCCCACCGTGAGACTCAGGACCTCGTGCAGCACCGCCACGGTCCTCTTCTCCGTGATATCACTCCTTGGCGCCAGGTGCGACCCATCCTCATAGGGCGAGATGTACGGAAGCCTCTGCCACTCGTCAAGCCATTTGCGCACCTTCTTGTCCAGCTCGAATCCTCTGGGGAACGAGAGTGGGAAGGCGACCGCGTCGCCGACCTTGTAGCCGCCGGTGCGCTGCGTGTAGGCCTGCATCGCCGACACGGCGAGGTCCTTCCTGTAGCAGACGAGCTCGAGGAAGCTGCCGTCCGGGGAGAGCGCGAAGTAGTCCGGGTAGCTGGGGAGCAGCGAGCGTTGGAAGTCCGACGCGAGGCCGAGGTCGAGCCGGAGGCGCGCGACGAGGCGGAGCGGGAGCGCGCGGGAGGGGGCGAGCATGAGCAGCCGAAGCAAGCGGTCAGCGGCGTCGGGGAGGGTGGCGTGGACGACCTGCGCCTCGGCGGCGTGAAGCGCCGAGAGCCGGGGCGTCGGGGAGACCTCGATGGGGTGCGGCGAGAGCGCGAACGCCGAGGGGTATTTGTGGAGGAAGCGCAGCGGGCGGTACGGGAAGGGGATTGTGGAGGGCAGGGAGTGCAGCGGCACGGCGTGCGGCGGCGGCGTGGCGGCGAGGAGCGCGTCCTTGGTGAGGAGGAACGGCACCAGGTCGCCCTCCCGCTCCACGACGTGGTCGAGGGCCCGGTCTCGCACCCACGGCACGCGCGCCTCGAGGAGGCCCCGCGCCGGCACTAGCAGCGCCGCCGGTACACGCCGCAGCCGCGGCAGCGGCGGCAGAGGCATCTCTTCGTGGGGTACTGGGGTTTTGGGAGGCGGCCGAAATGCGGCGGCGGGTGCGAACTGGAAGGGGAGATCGGACGGTGGCCGGTTGCGTCTATTTTTAGGTGGGAACGTCAGTCGTGGGTGGGTTTGGACCGTGCGGTGCCGAGAGCCTCGGCCCAATTGAGGTCCAGTGGCATGCCGCAACGGTGGGGAGTGAATGAAACGGTGGGCAAAGAGGCAAAAAACTGGCCGTTTCAACGACGATTGATGCTGTGATTTGGGAGGAAACTGCGACGTCTCAGGTGATTATACTTCGTATGATGCATGTTTCAATGTCCACATCAACAACAGTGCTTGTTTTAAACCTGGATTCTTGGCGTTCATCGGGCGAATTTCTCTCTGCCCATCAGCGGATTGCCCTTTTGATGATGATTGTGCAAGAATTTGGTTTTCTGCTACATCGATTAGAAATCCACCCATCTTGGTTTGTCGATCAAATTTTTGTTTGGTCTTCGACGCAGGAGAGATGAACGCACTCACGAACTGACCATAATCCTCCGCGACAAAGCGCGAGTGGGGCATGGCACGATTGATGGCGACACGATGAATGAATCGAACAGATCCCCTGGAGGCGCCTCCTTCCCCTGCCCCGGAGCGTTGTGCCCGGTTGCGGCAGCTCATCGCCGGCCATAAGCACACGTTCATGCGCATTGCTTCCCTAGGCTCAATTTGACGACGCCAACGCCGACGTTCGGTCCAGGATGTCGTACGACCAGTCGGCTTTCCAGATGGATTACGTGGGCGTCGGCGCGTCCCGGCGGCGGTTCATGCCTTCGGAGTCGCTGGCCCGCGGCGTCATCACGCACGGCTCGGCGCAGCTGCGCACGATCGGGCGGTCGATCCGGGCCGGCGCCACCATGGCGGCCGTGTTCCAGGAGGACCTCAAGAACACCTCCCGCCGGATCTTCGACCCGCAGGACCCGGTGCTGGTGCGCCTGAACCGCGCCTTCCTCATCTCCTGCATCGTGGCCATCGCCGTGGACCCCATGTTCTTCTACCTGCCCATGGTGACCGACGAGGGCAACCTGTGCGTGGGCATCGACCGCTGGCTCGCCGTGTCCACCACCGTGGTGCGCAGCGTGGTGGACCTCTTCTTCCTGGGCCGCATCGCGCTGCAGTTCCGCACCGCCTACATCAAGCCGTCCTCCCGGGTGTTCGGGCGCGGCGAGCTGGTGATCGACACCGCGCTCATCGCGCGCCGGTACATGCGGCGCTTCTTCGCCGCCGACCTCGCGTCCGTGCTCCCGCTGCCGCAGGTGGTGATCTGGAAGTTCCTGCACCGGTCCAAGGGCACCGCCGTGCTGGACACCAAGAACAGCCTGCTCTTCATCGTCTTCATCCAGTACGTCCCGCGCGTGGTGCGCATCTACCCCATCTCCTCGGAGCTGAAGCGCACCAGCGGCGTGTTCGCCGAGACCGCCTACGCCGGCGCCGCCTACTACCTGCTGTGGTACATGCTGGCCAGCCACATCGTGGGCGCCTTCTGGTACCTGCTGTCCATCGAGCGCGTGAGCGACTGCTGGCGGAACGCGTGCGACGAGTTCCCCGGGTGCAACCAGATCTACATGTACTGCGGCAACGACCGGCACCTGGGGTTCCTGGAGTGGCGCACCATCACCCGGCAGGTGATCAACGAGACGTGCGAGCCCAAGCAGGACGGCAGCATCCCCTTCAACTACGGCATCTACTCGCCGGCCGTCACGTCGGACGTGCTCAAGACCAAGGACACCTCCTCTAAGCTGCTCTTCTGCCTCTGGTGGGGGCTGGCCAACCTGAGCACCCTCGGGCAGGGGCTCAAGACCAGCATCTACACCGGGGAGGCGCTCTTCTCCATCGCGCTCGCCATCTTCGGCCTCATCCTCATGGCCATGCTCATCGGCAACATCCAGACGTACCTCCAGTCCCTCACCGTGCGCCTAGAGGAGATGCGCGTGAAGCAGCGCGACTCGGAGCAGTGGATGCACCACCGCCTGCTGCCGCCGGAGCTGCGCGAGCGCGTCCGCCGCTACGACCAGTACAAGTGGCTCAACACCCACGGCGTGGACGAGGAGGCGCTGGTGCAGAACCTGCCCAAGGACCTCCGCCGCGACATCAAGCGCCACCTCTGCCTGGGCCTCGTCCGCCGGGTGCCGCTCTTCGCCAACATGGACGAGCGCCTCCTGGACGCCATCTGCGAGCGCCTCAAGCCCAGCCTGTGCACGGAGCGCACCTACATCACCCGGGAGGGCGACCCCGTGGACCAGATGGTCTTCATCATCCGCGGCAGCCTGGAGAGCATCACCACCGACGGCGGGCGCACGGGGTTCTACAACCGCAGCCTGCTCGAGGAGGGGGACTTCTGCGGGGAGGAGCTCCTCACGTGGGCGCTCGACCCCAAGGCCGGCGCCTGCCTGCCGTCGTCCACGCGCACCGTCATGGCGCTCTCGGAGGTGGAGGCCTTTGCGCTGCACGCCGAGGAGCTCAAGTTCGTGGCGGGGCAGTTCCGCCGCATGCACAGCAAGGCGGTGCAGCACACGTTCCGGTTCTACTCCCAGCAGTGGCGCACGTGGGCGGCCACCTACATCCAGGCGGCGTGGCGGCGGCACCTCAAGCGCAGAGCGGCCGAGCTGCGGCGCAGGGAGGACGACGAGATGGAGGAGGACGAAGGCAGGTCCAACAGGATCAGGACCACCATACTGGTGTCGCGGTTCGCGGCCAACGCTATGCGCGGCGTGCATCGCCAGCGCTCCAGGCGGGCCGTGGCCGTGCCCGAGCTCCTCATGCCCATGCCCAAGCCGCGGGAGCCCGACTTTCGCGACGACTACTAACGTCAGAGTTTGGCGCGCGGGTGCATGTTCTAGTTTTATACAGGTAGCAAGACGCTAAATTCCCGGTGTACGGTGTTCTGCTTCTGCTTGTTGTACATGGGATTTGATTCAACTATCTCACTGACTTATGACTTGGGCGACTTGTATCTGTTGGATTTTTTTTATTTCTAACACTTTTTAAAATATTTCAAATTAGACACTGTATTTTTTTTTCAAATCTAACACTTTTGGCCGCGCCTACTGCCATGGCGCGGCAGAGGCGATGACGTAGCAGCGACCGGGCCGCTGACCGGTGACATGGCGGGCCTCTGCCACGACGCAGATTTGGGCGCGGCACTGCCACGCCATCGCGCACCGGCGCGGCAGGGCTGAATACAGGCCCGCGGTTAGGCCCCACACCCCACTCTCTCTCTCTCACTCCAGTTGAATCGAATCGGATCGAGGGGGAGACGCACCCGTCGCCGCCGTACTGCCGTCGCCTTTTCGTCGCCCGCGGCCAGCCGCCGCCGTGCCTCCCCCCGCCACCACCCGCCCCCGCGCCTCCCTCTCTCCCTATTCCCTCCCTCTCTCTATGTCTCAGTGTCTCCCCACCGCTCCAGGGAAACGTGCCCATCGCCGGCGCGGCGGCCCCTTCCCCACCGCCGGCTGGCCTCTCTCCCCCATCGTCTCCTTCACCTGCGCCCCCCTTTCCCTCCCCTGGCCAGCCGGCAGTGTGTCGCACCCCTCTCCCTCTCTCTCTCTCCTGCTCCTAGAAGAAGCCCGACGCCTTTGCCATCATCTAAATCGCCATTGGTGGACTTGGTTAAGCCCTAATCTCCCTCTCGTTGTCAAGGTACTCCCGTTGTCTATTTGTTGATTGAATCGAAACTATTGTTACTTAGGGTTAAGATGCAAAATTAGTTTTAATGAGAAATGATTTCTATAATTAGCCGGGGTCCCAATCAGATGAGATTATTTAGGTTGTCCAACAGGTTTTAGTAGTATAGGTAGTATAGTATAGTTAGTTAGTTTAGTTAGTTATTTTAGTTAGTTAGTGTAGTTTGTATAAATAGTTATTGTAGTTAGGCTTGTATAGGTGTTAATATTGGATTAGTTAGTATAGGTATTGATATTACTATAGATAGTACGTACGACGATTTCGACGACTCGATGAACTTTCGTGAAATGCTTTTGTACATGGATTATTGTGTCTGAGTTTTTTACGGAGGAAGTGTTAGGAAAGAAGATTGTATGTTTGAGGATATGGAAGTAGAATTGGAATGGTTTGATGAACCTCCTAGCTTCAACAAACTTTGTGTCCATTTGAATGCAAAGTTTGGCGGTGATTTCACACTGAAGGGGAGGTTTGATAGTGGGAAGACTAGGGCACACTATGTCCTGATGCCCTTTGCGCGACCCTGCTCACTGGTACCACTACAATAGGGTGATCCAAGGTTCCAATGTGCCCATGGCTGAGGTGGTGGTGGAGAATGTGTACAGAATGCAGGATCTCCAGGACGGGCCGTCCATTGACGGTGTTGGAGGCAATGAACAAGAATTGGGGGTCAAAGGGGAAGCAACTCAGGGTAACCTGGATTTGGACGGTCAGTTGACGCAGGAGCAGTTTCATTCAACTCCAGTAGGCTATATAAGCAATGACTTCGATATGAACGAGTTCGAACGAGAAGAGGAGGAGCAGGAGGAGGAGGACAGGATCGATGATGTAGTTAGCAGTGATTCAGACGATTCGGATGATGACCAAGGAGGTAGAGATGCTATGCCAACACCGGTTGATGCCATGCCAGTATCGGTTCATGCTATGCCATTACCAGAACCAACTGAGGTACTTCATACTATGCCAGCTCAGGGTAGACTAGTCATAGATTTGCCAAAGGATGATACCCCATATGATTCATAGGGTAGGATTAGCGAGCCCATTCCCTCCCTCTCTCTGTCTCAGTGTCTCCCAACCGCTCCAGGGAAACGTGCCCATCGTCGGCGCAGTGGCCCCTTCCCCACCGCTGGCCGGCCTCTCTCCCCCATCGTCTCCTTCACCTGCGCCCCCCTTTCCCTCCCCTGGCCGGCCAGCGGTGTGCCGCACCCCTCTCCCTCTCTCTCCTGCTCCTAGAAGAAGCCCGACGCCAGTGTCCACCTCGTCACCATTGGTGGACTTGG